CAGGTGAAAATTTCCCATAAGTTAGCTCTCATTCTTTTTCTCTGAAAACTGCAGTAATTTCTTCTCTGGAATGCGAAACCCAAGATACGCAGGCCATGAATAGGCTGTTCATCTCTCCCTGGAAGCAAGCGGCTGAAGCTCAGACAGTACAAAATATTATGAGTGCCTTGGGGCACGAAGGGAGCGCGTGAGCCGGGAGCTAGGTGAGCCGTCTGTCGGGTGCTGAATGGGAAGGTTGTCTGAGTGTCGCCGCGTTCTCGCCGCTCCTGGTGCCTCTAATAAAGCTCTTCAGTGTCCTCTTCTCATCACAGGGTCAGGAACTAGGGAGTGTCTTCTGCCTCATGTGCCACCTCCTGCAGGTCCCTGAAGAGCTTGGATTCATGCCTGCTCTTACCGTGGGGCCCCCAGGCTCGTTACCTTCTTACACACCTGGGAAGACCAAAGGAAGAGTCAGTGGGAGCAGCTGGATGACTCTTTTTCTTTTCGCTTTTCCTGTTCCACAAGGCTCACACAAAGGTTCCCAGAAATGGGCTGTGGCCTCCAGAATAAGCCCTGATTCAGTCTCACTGAATACATGAAACCGAGCCAGGCACTTCCCTTTAATAGGCCTTAATTTCTTCATCTATTTAATGGAATTAACAATGACTAACCTCATAGAAAGAAAAGATAAATCATCTCTTTCATGGTTGGCCTATCCTCACGGGGCTGGGTCTCTTAAGAACAGAGAGCACGTCTTATGCAGATCTACATTTAATAAATGAATAAATAAGTGAATTTAATAAATGAATGGGTTTCTTAAGAACAGAGAGCATGTCTTATGCAGATCTACATTTAATAAATGAATGGGAGGTACTATCATCTCTAGTTTATACTGAAATCAACAAACTGAACTCCTCATCCCTCGGGCCTGGACATTCAGCCGCTTTCCGCTTGGGCAGTCATCAGGTACCTGAATGGAGATGCAGACAGATTCTTTTCACGCACTGCCCTCTCTCTGCTTCCACACAGCGATGGTTTCGGAGTGGAATGGACTGAATGAGTCAAAGGGAAGACCAGCTGCATCTGGGCTTCAGGGTCATTGTGGAAAAAATCAGGCATTGCTTTTCTCCCTTCACGTTGCCCAGAGTGGCTTCTTCCTCATGTGCCCAGGGTCGGCGGGGAATGTGCTTATTGTCACGATCACCTCAGGCTAGGATTCACGTTTATCACAGGGAGGTTGGCAGCAGGTGTGCCATTGATGACAGACAAGCGTGTGAAGCAAAACAGGTTTCGAGGAAGGGGCGGGGGTCGGAAGCAATGCCTGGGGCTGCCTTAGAAGGAAGGGCATAAGGTGATTAAGAACAAAACCTTGGAAGATTCCCCTCCTCCCTGACTTGCTCTCCCACTCTCTACGAGAAACCCCTCTCCGCATCGTTAACCAGAATCCCACCATGGGTGCTTCACTTCACTGGGCTGAGGACGGCACCATTTGACACCCTCCCTCATGTGGCCGTTGAGCTTCATCAGCCTTGGAGCATTTCTGTCCCAGCTGACATTCTTTTGCCTCTTTCTCCGCATCCTGTTCAGATCCGCAGCCTACTCTCCTCCCAGTTGGAGTCCCCACCATCAACTTGATCGCTCAGGGCGCTCCCCGTGACCACACCCCCCAGCCCTGGAACACCTGGGGAGTTGGGCCCATTCTCCCCACCTTCCTCTTGAGTCTCTTTCTGAGTCCTCAGTTCTGTCCTCCTCACTCATCCCCCAGGATGGGGAGAACGGTCAGACCTTCACCTCTGTCTGCTCATTTTAAAGCTCATGTTGGAGCTGAACAGTAGAAGCTTTCTCCACTCTTTCATCCAGTATTTGTTGGATGCAAACTCTATAGCATTCGCTGTGGCCCAGGCGTTGTGCCGGGTGTTGGAAATACCATGGCGATCATGGTCCTTACTCTTACGGCGCTTATGGCCAAGGGAATGAAGACAGGTAAGAAACAAGCAAATTGACAAGTAAACCTGATAGTGGCATGAAATGACAAATGAGGGACTGTGATGAAGGGTGACAGGAGGGGGCCTCTGAGGCAGTGACATTTGAATTAAAACCTGAAGGACAAAAAGGAGTTAGTCCTGCAGTGCAGTGGGGGAAGAGCTAGGCAGAGCTGGCAATGGAACAGCAAGTGCAAAGGAAGGCCTTGTATTTGGAAAGTGTTGGGTGTATTTGAGGAATAGAAGGAAAGCCAAGGTGGCAGCAAAGTGCGCAGGGGCAGAGTGACACAGATGGAGTTGGAGGGGTAAACAGGGGTCAGAAAACACAGCGTTTAAGTTTTTATGGCAACAAGTTTGTTCTGATAATAAATGCCAGAGGTTTTAAGCAATGGAGGGACATGGCCTGATATTCATTTTTTTTTTTTTTTTCTTTTGCTGTACGCGGGCCTCTCACCGCCGCGGCCCCTCCCGTTGCGGAGCAACAGGCTCCGGACGCTCAGGCTCAGCGGCCATGGCTCACGGGCGCAGGCACTCCGCGACATGTGGGATCCTTCCAGACCGGGGCACGAACCCACGCCCCCTGCATCGGCAGGCGGACTCTCAACCACTGCGCCACCAGGGAAGCTCTGATATTCATTTTTTAAAAATCACTCTGGCTGAGTGTGAAAACTGGAGGTGCTTCGTCACATTTTCAAAAACTGTACCTGGATAGGCTGTATCACCTGGTCTTAAATTGAAAATTTACAGCTGAAGGGAAAGATGACACCCACCTCTGCACCAACAAGGCTTCCTGGGGGGATTGGATGATAGTCTAGACCTGTTTCCCCGACCTGTGTGGGGAGCCCATTCTTTCCAGGTTGAGGGATGCAGGAAATAGGGGAGCAGGTGCTAAGTTCTGGAATGGAAGGAGACACGGAAAGGCAGGAAAAGCCAGAGCAGCCAGTGAGGATAGGAGAAAACTTTCTTTTCAGTCCACTCTCAACATGGAGCTTGGACCGTTGCAATCTCCTTGCATGACAGTGTTTTTTTGTTTTTGTTTTTTTTTTTGCGGTCCGCGGGCCTCTCACTGTTGTGGCCTCTCCCGTTGCGGAGCACAGGCTCCGGACGCGCAGGCTCAGCGGCCATGGCTCACGGGCCCAGCCGCTCCGTGGCATGTGGGATCCTCCCGGACCGGGGCACGAACCCGTGTCCCCTGCATCGGCAGTCGGACTCCCAACCACTGTGCCACCAGGGAAGCCCTCATGACAGTTTTGAGATGGGCTTAATACCGTGCTACATCTAGCTTTCCTTTCCTATTACATCTAATGGTTTATTGAACAGAAATCTCTAGACATCGCTTACTTCCTTGAGGTACTCAAGCCTTGGGATGTTAAATGTGATTGGGACAGAATAAAATATTAAAAAAATTTTTTCTCAATACTAGATCCCGCAGGAGGGATGTGATGAACAGGAATCTGGCTGAGAATGGCCAGGTAATTGTCCTGGCCAGCACGCTCTACCCTGCACGAGGCTCTAGGCAACACTTGGTGCACTGACCTCCTCTTAGGATGTGAAATCTGTAGAATTCGCTGAGAAATACTGCAAGAAGTATCTGGGGAGGCACCCCCAGCTCCTGCCATCTTTCCACAAGCAGAGGGAGGCTGCAAGGCTTCCAGAGGAAAGCTAAACAGGAAGCAGATCTTTTCCAAGGAGCCTACAGATCACTTTCAATCAGACCACTTGGCTCTCATAACATTTCCGAGCTCATTCTCAGAGAAACACTCTCCCTCGTCAACTGAGGCCCTGCTAAGAGGATTACTCCCACTGCATCACCTGGCAAAGCTACACAGAAGACTACTAAGTCCCTACACTTAATGCCTCTGCATGATTCCAGAATCCAATTTTCAACTATCAGCTTGTAATTTCCTGGATACCCCACCAGTGTCTTTCAGTTAGTGGGTCCTAAACCAACTCATCTTCCCCTCTCCTGGCTTTCCTTTTTCTGTTAATGGAATCACTGTTCCCTCTGTTACCCTGGCTGGAAACATCTGAGTCATTCTTGACTCATCCTTCTCTCTTATTCTCTAGATCAAATCAACTGCCGAATGGTGTAGTCTCTATTTCTATGATGTGACTTGAATCTGTCCCCTCCTTCCTACTGCCACCATCCCTCCTCAGTGTGAGCTGTCATTACTTCCCTCTCGACAGGAGCATCCTCACTTTTTCTTCGCCATGAACCCACCTTCGTACTGCTGCTGACATTAAAGCTCCTCAAACACAGACGATCCCATCACTGTCTTTCCAGCAGCCTGATGGCTCCCGCTGCTGCCACATTAAATATAAACCATCTTTTAGCTGTATAAGTTTCAATGCCTTTTCCAATACTCCATGTTCAAGCTAAATGTACTCATTCCTGGTGTAGGACATGACTTTTCTTACCCTTGAACCCTCTGAATAAATAAATGATCTTGCAAAAAAAAATAAGACCTTCCTATATTACTGTCCTGTATTATCTGCACTTATATGCTTATTTTATCTCCCTAGAAGATTTGATATTCCTGTATTACCTTTAGTTTTGCTTCCTCTGATCTCTGAGCGCATGAATGTATCAGGCACTGCTCTTAGAACACCTGTAGGAAATAATTTTACTCTCACAACAATTCTGATTGTATCCCCATGTTACTGTGACAAACCTGAGATGCAGAGAAGTTGAGTAACTTGCTGGGGTTCCATAACTAACAACTGGCAGAGCCAGAATACAGATTCACATGGTCTGGCCCCAGAGCCCAAGCTCTTAACCTCTGAGCTCACATTGGTCAGGGATGACAGCTGTATTCCTGATATCATATTTTGGATTCAGCTGATGTGTTATAACTGAAGTGCGGTTGAAGGCCTGTGTCCATTAATGGTCAGAAATATCAATGGTAGGCTGAGTGTGCAAATGTAATTTGATATCAGGGGCTGATTAACGGTGTTTCCCAGGAAATCACTCTGAAGCTAAGAGCTATCTTTGTGCTATTTTTTCCTACTTGTTCTTTTTTTTTTCTTTTCTTATTCCAGTACATGGGCTGTATTGAGGTGCTACAATCAATGAGGTCACTGGATTTTGGAATGAGAACCCAAGTTACAAGGTAAGAGAACAAAACTGGGACAGACTTTGAGGACTATAGTCTAAAGTCACAAGAGTTTCTCCCCACAGGAATTTCATGCAAGGTTTCAAAGGCATCGTGGGTTTTTATACATAAGGCTGGAAGGTACACCAAAGCCCAGTGACCTTCGATGAGTAGCTTTGCCTCATCACGTGAAAGATTTCTCAGTTGTGTGGCGGAGCATCTGCATTTCGTATGAGAACTGACAAGATGATGGAGTCAGAGAGATAGCTGGTTTCCCAGATACTAAATGTATTTAAAATAATGTCTAGAAATAGGACATTACAGAATCTCAGACCTGTCGAAGAAGTAGCCGAAAATAAGAACAGGGAAAAACTTTCCACATCAGCAAGCCCAAGCTCTCCCCATTTATGGCATCCCTGACACAAGAAACTCTTACTCCTTGTCTGGGTCTCCCTCCTCCATGTAAGGTGAGCTGGATGAAAGAGTTGAACCCGGGGACCCTTACCCAGGGTGGCCCCCGGCAGCTTAGGGAAAGAACCAGAATCATTATTACACAGAGCACAAGTCAGAAGCAGAAACACAAGGCATGGTTCTTTAAGGCCAGGTTCAAAGCAAGGATGGAAAGGGGAATAATTGAGTGCTGAGACTGGTAACTGGGAAAATTGTGAGGTGAGAGGACTGGATTTATAGGAGTGATTCAGGATGAAGACTTGGGCATCTGCGGTGTGTGGTGCCAGTATGTGTCTCAGGGGCAAGCTGCAGTGCCTGTCTGCATCCATGGTCACAGGCCACCGTTTCCACAGGTGAATGTTCTCACTATGAAGAGAGGATAGCTTTTCCTAATGCTCATCTTATGGAAGTCCGAGGCCTTGAAAAATTGTCCTCTTGACCAAAAGGTTTGGGGAAAGGAATCATACGCTCTTTAGGAGAGTCACAGTTTACAATGATGTACGGTATTAAAGACCCTGAGAAGTCCTGTGCTATAGTTGAAAAAGCACTAACTTCATCTTGAGATTTTCTAAATTTGTTTGGCCCCAGAATTCTTTTTTTTATTTAACATAAAAGAACATTCCATGCATCTCTGGGGTTCCATGAAATGATCTTTCAGAAATGCTATTGTGGACTCTTTTGTTTACAATGCATTCAAATCTGTCTTTCCAAATTTCTCACCAATCCTTGGTATTCCCTCAGGAGTTAAACAGATGAAATCTAATTCTATTTTTCTTTTTTTTTTTTTCTGTATTCTTGGTGCCTATTTCAGTCCTTGGCACCCGGAAGGGGCTCAATGGATATTTATGGAGTAAATGCATGACTCCACCTGACTACTTTCCAGGGTTTGGAAATGGCTACATCTTCCCTCCCTTTTAAGCCTTCTCTTTCACATTCTCAGGCCCTTCAACTATCCTTTAAGCGAGAGGGTTTCTAGATTACTTCCTACTCTCTTAGCCCTAATTTGGACACATTTCAGGTTTTATTTCATTCTGATGATGCTTAATCTGGAGAAAGCCCTTCCTCCAATCCTGAGCTGGTTACAGGTGGGAGGAAGAGGATCGCTACCCCAGGTGACTGGAATGGGGCTACAGGAGAAAGGAATGCCACTGTCCATACTTGAGGATGACTGATTTTCTGTTCATTCCCTCATCCATTCATTTTGACTTGTTCTCCTTCACTTGAGTATTTATGGAGTGCTCATTAAGTGCCTGAAACTCTTCAAGAATAAAGGATGCAGATGCCTCTGACCTCAGAGAACTTACATTCTACCTGGGGAAACAGACTATGGCAAGGAAACAAATAAAGAGACAATATACTTTCAGGTAGTAATAAGTGCCATTACTATAATGATGAAGCAGGGTAAGAGGATAGAGATGTAGTAGGTGGGCTTTTAAATTTTATTTTATTATCTAGTTATAAATATACTGTATATTTACTTAGAACATTTAGAAAATACAGATAAATATGAAAAAGGAAATCACTCATAATCTCACCTGGAAATAATGTCTACTAACATCTTGTGCTTTGGAATAACCTTCTGATCTTCTCTTCCTTACATGTGCTTACAGTGATTTTTGTAGAAAATCTGAAAAATATTTGCTACTGTTTCTCCCATGTTGGCCATTTTCCTGTTGCCTAATGTTCAGAAGAATTTTTAATTGTGGTAAAATACGTATAACAGAAACTTTACCATTTTAACCATTTTTAAGTGTCCAATTCAGTGGCATTAAGTGCGTTTCATCTTGTTTTGCAAACACCACCACCATCCCTCTCCAGAACTTTTTCATCTTTTCAAACTGAAACTTTGTATATTAAATAATAACTTCTTATTCCCTTCTCCCCCAGCCCCTGGCAACCACCATTCCACTTTCTGTCTCTATGAATATGACTACTGTAGGTACCTCATATAAGTAGGGTTATATAGTGTTTGTTTTTTTTGTGACTAATTTATTTCATTTAGCATAATGTCTTCAAGGTTTATCACTAGGTCAAATAATATAAATATTGAAGGCTTTAGATCTGTATTGCTAGATTGTTCTGCAGAAGAACCATATACTAGTTGATATCCTCCCTCCCATCCATGTATCTATTTTTTGTTACTGTTTTTATTTTATTTTTTTAATTTCTATTTTATATTGGAGTATAGTTGATTTACAATGTTGTGTTAGTTTCAGGTGTACAGCAAAGTGATTTAGTTATACATATACCTGTATCTATTCTTTTTCAGATTCTTTTCCCATATAGGTTATTACAGAGTATTGAGTAGAGTTCCCTGTGCTATACGGTAGGTCCTTGTTGATTATTTATTTTATACATAGTAGTGTGTATATGTTAATCCTAACTTCCTGATTTCTATTTTTAAAACATCTTTATGAATTTGTCAGTCTGTATTTTCCTACTGTTTAGTAAATGGTAAAAGACTATTTCTTTCTCTGCCATGAAGATTCAGTTCATGACTAATGTACAGATCTAAGGGAAGGTGTCTGGCATAGTACCTGGATATTATTCCTTGTAGATGTGTCTGTATGAGATTCAGGCATGGCAAATTGTGCTCTGGGAAGATTTGTGGAAGTTTGAGGTGGCTCACTTTCCATAAACCTCTAATTCCCACCCTACTTCGCAAACATTTACTCTTCTTCCTTCTCTTAATTTTTCCTTCTTTATCTCCTTCTCCTTTCTTTTCTCAACTTACATATGTATTCACATTCAGCCACTATTCAAGTTGCTCTATTCCCAATTGCCTAAGATATTATTAATATATAACTGTTGAATCAGGTTTCAAATAGTTTACAATTTGAATTTCACATATTCACAAAGTTTCATTTCACTCATAATCCTACTTAACCCAAGAAAAAAGATTCAATGGACCAGTTAGAATTCTATAAGAAAGATCTTTATTTTGTGTGACCACAGGTATCTCCTGACATTTACCATCAAGCAGAAGATTAATCAGGTGTGACTGCTGATAAACTAGTGTAGCTAATTGCCACTACGCATACAAACAGGTGTATTCAGGCTGATATCCTACCTCTGTTAATTGATCTTACCATGTCTCTACTAGTTAGTACATTGTTCCAGTTAATAGACAAGACAGCAACATGAAGTTCCTGATAATAAAGGAGGAGCCATGGTTAAGATACAACAGTTGGGTCAGTGTTTGAAACAGAGGACAAAGATGGAGTCAAATTCTTCTCATTATGAGGGACCTTTCTGCCAATTGTTTGAGGGCTGAATCCATAGGACCTCTAGAGCACAGAGAATACTCAGAGCAGAGAAAAAGAAAAGGACAAGGAGGCTATGTACTTTGTCGGCAGTTCCCTGGATTACACCCTTTCCAAAGCTCTCATCACACTTCTTTGACTCCAGATTTATCCACTAATTCTCACCCAGGCATTTATCCACTTGACTGATTTAGGACCACATCTTCATTTTTAGTAATCTAGTGTTCATGCAAAAGGGCAAAGGAGGAGGTTTTTCCTGATAGAAAAGAGAAACAAGATGATTAGGAAGACAAAGGCTCACAGTGATGGTTGTCTTCAGAATGTCTGGAAAACAATATCAAAAGGAAATAGGAGAAGGGGAAAATGAAAATCATACTAAGCATGACATAGTCATTCCTCTCTCCTATAAAAATGTTCTCAACATGACTTTTATTTTTTAATTTTTTGGAGAGAGTGGGAACTCAAAACTCTTCCTAAGATTATCTCTATTAGAAACTCTCATTCTACTAACGAGGAGATGAAATTTAGATTTAGTAACTTGCCCAAAGTCACACAGCTAATAGATGTGAAGATGGAACTTCAGGTTAAGGCTCCAGGATTAGGAGATTTTGCTCTTTGGTACTGTTTTAATATGTCATGATGGTTAAATGATACTTTTCCCTTTAATTTATTATTGTAGAGAACTGCATTAATAAGTTTTATAATATGGAACAATCATTGGATTCCTGCTGTAAACCCTTCTTAATTATCATGTCATCATAGGTAGCAGTTACATACAACTTGTTAAAATTTTATTTCAAATGTTTGCATCCTTATTTTAAGTGAGTTTTCTTTTTTGAACTATACTTACGAAATTTTGGTTTCAGGAATATGTTAGCCTCATAAGAATGATTGCAGAACCTTTCTATATTTTCTGTGCTCTGCCACAATTTAAACAATGTTGGAATTATCTGCTACTATAAAAGTCTTTGGAACTAGCCCAAACAACTCTCTGAGCTTGTTAGATTTTTACCTCCATTGTCAAATCTTCTTTTTTATTAGTCTTTTCAATTTTTCTTTATCCTTGGTGAGATAATTTTGGGGTGATTTTACCCCCAAAGTTGGGCATTTTATCTTGATTTTTCAAATTTGTCACATAATGTTAGCCATAGTATTCTCATCTAATTTTCACATAGCCTCTGTATATGTGATTATGCTCTCTTCAACATTTCTGATTTGTTTGTGTGATCTTTTAAAATCAGATTTGCCAGAGGTTTGTTTATTTTATTGCTCTTTTGAAAGAACCAGGTTTCGTTTTTATTATTC